GTGTAAAATTCTGAATATACCAGTATCCACAAGTTAAAAAATGTTACAATTCTTGATAGAGAGGTAAACTTGTTTGTTTGGTACTTGTTATAATACTGTTATAATAATGAAACCACTATTATGATGTGTCAAGATGGTAGAGGACAGGAAGACCTGGAGGAATGTTGTCCATGGGGTCGCGATGGGTCGGACACGACTTCGCAATTAACAACAACAACAATTATGATGTGTCATTCAATGCCTGTAAGAAATAGTCATTGATGTTATATTTAAGTAGTTAATCACCGTGGTTTTTCTTTGTTGAGAAATTGCATCTTCTTACTTTACCTCAAATGGCTTGTGGGCAGGGAGGTGTAGAGACAAAATACATGACTGAAACTTGAAAAACAGCTTGGGGAATTGTTTTTAATGCATGTTTTTAATGTAATATATACATATACCAATGCATGCGTACCTCCCTTCTGATCCTTTTATGAAGTTGCACACAAAGGGATATTATTATTGCAATCTAGGATTATGATAATACAGATAATAAATCTATTTCAAGTTTTATAAATAGTATAGACAAATGAATTATACATATTAGTTCAAGAGAACTTTCAAGAGTTCATTTTAAACAGGATACCATGCAAAAATTAGTAGCAGATGCCAAACTGCAGGATGCAACTCCTGTATGTGGTTTTATGCAAATGATAATATACATTTTAGCAGCACAACAGATGTGGGTTATGTCATGCATGTGTTAATGGGATCAAATTAGGTAATGGGAATGAGTCACTTTGCAGCAAACAAATTTAATAAATAAATAAAATGAATACTGTGACTTTTTGAGTTGAACAAAGGGATTTAAGCATGTGTCTGTTAAAGAATACTTTTATCTAGATATAATAAAATTTCTCAATATTTCTACAATATTTTAGTATCTCTTAGACCTTTGAGGTAGGCCAAGTGAAGAATAGACACTGAAGGATTTCAGAAATGGTGTTTTATTATTGTTCAGTTCCTGAACTGCTATCTATTCTTCAACTTCTATGTGTAGTTATGGGATTTTTTTTAAAGAAGTTATGACAAGAGATTTTTATGAACTCCACAAAGTCAGTTATAAAATTTCTTAGAAATTGGCAACCCTGCTTCTACAAGCCTGGACATCCTTCACTTTTCTGGATGCCAGCCAAGGGAAATGTATTGTACTTTTGCTGGATTCAATCTGTGGCACCTGCCTTATTCTGGTGACCAAATAGTTAACTGGAGAAGAGGAAGCACACAGTTTTTTCAATTTGACAAAAAGTTTGTACTGTGCTCCAAGACATTTCTATCTGCATCTTGTGCAAAACTGTTTCTTCTGAAAAAATCATGTCACCAAGTATACTTCTAAATATTTATCATAAGCATGGATCTGGAGAAGACTGTGGAGCAGTTAATGAGTCCATAAGGCATTACTGTAATATTCAAATTCAGTTAAACATTATGCCTTTATTTCATTCTTAATAAATTGTTAAATGCCTCTGAAATCCAAATTTGTAAAAGTCTATTCTATTAAAAGTGGCCCAACAGATCTGTAAAATTGTGGGAGTAACCTTTTGTTATAGGGAAGATGATATACAGCCATTTCCCTCCTTTTTTTGGTATTCTGGTTTTCTGTAGCATGTTTGGGCTTGTCTAAATAATGTTCTTACACAGCTCCTCTTGTGAAAGGTTGAATTACTTTGCTACTGAAGTTAGTATGGGTGGTTTTTGAATAGACTTGTTTCTAATTTGTAATAATTCCTCTACTAATGAGGATAACCAGGAAACGTGTTTTCTTTTCTTATTACCTTATGAAATTTATTCATTGGAAAATATGGTTGTTTATGTAATTTCTTTATGTGTATCCTGGGAAGGGAGCCTGAGATCTTATCTGAGATGATGCTCTGGAGTAATCTGGGCACTTGCTTGTTATGTGACTTATAGTTCTACAGGTGTAACACTTAACAAATTCAGAGGTCTGCACTTAAGCAGTGCAAGCCTTGACTAAGAATTCCCAGGAAAAACCAAGATATTTCCTACTCTATTTCTCTGCTGAGGACAGGGGGTTCCTTACTGATCCTGTTTGAATAGGTTCTCTGATGTAGCTGAGAAGCCAAGGGGAGACGGTTTACATGTTTTACTATTTTCTCTATGCCTCTTCTTCAATCACCCATTAACATACAATACTGGAACAGTTCTTCCAATTTTTCTGGGTGTGCCTTATATTACTAATTATTTCTCAGTTCATTAGCAAATCCTTCTCAAAACTAGTCAATCAGAGCAAGATCATTCTGCCCCACCTGTCTTATAATTAAAAATCTGTCTCTACAATTGCTTTTTTAACTTGCAAAATTCTTAATTTGTTGTTGGTCTCCTACATGAATGGTTAAATGCATCTTTAAATATTTGCATGAAAATCTGGTAATTACCCACTAATGGATCATTGTCCTAAATGAGGGCGTAGCCTACTTGGTTTCCTATTATTATAGCATACTCAAAAGTCATCTTGGAGTGATCTATAGGAAATTCTCTTGATCCACTTGCCACAAGCAATTCACATAGGATTGTAACAAGTCAGATTGATTCCTCCAAATCTTTCTGACAAACTCCCATGAGAGTGAAGAAATATTAGTTGGGCTGTAGGCTGCTGAACTATTCTGGGATGTTGCAAATACTGTTGATCCAAATATTATTCCTTTGTCCAAAAGACTGTTATGCCATTGTGTAGCTGTGTTATTTGTGTATCAATCTGCTATTAATGTTGTAACCATAGTTCAGGAAGATTGTGGGATGCCTCAATGATCTTACGTCATCTCCATGATTAAGCCAAAGTGCAATGCCTCTGAACAGAAAGCAGTTAAGACTTTTGAGATTAATGTTAGTCTTTCAAAGTAGGTCAGATTAGGTAATAATGTGTCACAAGGATTATTAGAGCTTTGTTGTAAGGTATAACAGAATCTTGAAATTCTGTCTTCTCGTAATATAGAATGAGGGTGGGTATCTCAAGTTTCTCCCCCCCCACTTCTCAAAAGTAACTGAAAGTATGCCCAATTATTTCTATACTGCTTTTCAAGGTTGGTTTACTATACTTCTATAATACTATAAGAATACTTTGGAACTTATTCTGCAGACCCCAGGGTATGCTGAGGATCAATCTCCATCTTCAGGATATAATGGCGAGGTTTGATGCTCATCTGATAATAGTGAGGTTTTAAAGACTGATGTCAGCCCTTCGAGGTAAGCAAGGTAAACAAAGAGACACCACAGGAATTCTAGGAAAGCTACTTTATTGCTATATAGTATAATAATAAAATTGTGAAAGTCCATAGTGAGTTTCCCTCTTCCCCTTATATCAGATAAAATCAAGATAGGATTGTTTTGAATTTCTAGCACCACTTTCTCAGCATTGAGCTGCCATTTCTTCTCCCTTAATGGTTCATACATTTCTTCTCCAAGGTTCTCTCTACAGTATATTCCTTTACAGTTTTTGAACCATCATTTCTTTGTATCAAGTTTTATGGTTTACTTTCCCTGTGAAAATTAGACTTGAGGAAGGAGGAATCTTCTCTTTTGTTTGCCTAATGATGCTATATTTTTTCCTTCACTAGAGTTCTTTATACTTTGAAAATAATTGAGAAAAGGTGCTTTGAAACACTTGTGATAGTTCTGTTAAAGACCCAACTACTTTAATAAGTCTAAAACATGTCCCGTGATTATGTTTCTCTGCATTCCAAAATATTTTTTCTGAATGATTTTTATAGTACAGCATGTAATATGTTCAGATTACTGCATAAATATTAGCATATATTTATATGATGCAATACTTTACTGAAGTAAATCTAAATCAACTTTTAAACAGTATCCAGAGGTGTGGATGCCATTAAATATGCTAGAATTAATCAGATAATTAAAAACTGTTTTTAGACTTAGGCTTTGGAGTAAAATCTTTTCTGAAAGTGGTAATCTTTAGTGCTGAAAGAACAGATTCATATCTCGAAAAAATTATTTGACATTCTACTGTTCTTAGATTTAAGACAGTGCTGACAAAGAACACATTTGCACAATGAATGTTAAGTGTAATATTTGTGATAATACCTAAGCTATTTAAGTGTGCTAACATGAACAGAACCCTTAAGCGTTAATTGATGCAAAATGCAGCAGCCTGTTATCTGGTGCATGGTATAGTATCATTACATCATTTATCTACTAACAGATTTGTATTGATTGTCAACAGTTTTCTGGGCTTAATTCAAAGTGTTAATTTTAATACTTTAAGCTGGGCCAAAATATATTTGCCTACCTGATTTTCCTACATATAAGCAGAATAAAAGTTAGAAAGGGAATTTATTTGAATGTGTTAGCATTTTTTACTTACTGTCTCTGTATCCCACTTAAACATAATGATGGATTAAATATACTTCATGGAAAATAATGAAGATCCATCCTCATATCCAAGTAGTCACACCCCAAATGTATAAAAACAATGAATTTATGATGTTTCAAGAGAAAACTGTAGATTTTTGTGTTGTGATTGGTAGATTTAGAAATATAGACTATGCCTAGAACCCATTTTTGGTGCCATTTCCCTATTTTTATGCTGGAACTAGAATTCTATAGTTAATAGATCTGGATAGGAGATTCATACTAATTTTGGGAGTCTGACATCGTATGTCCCAAACATGAATATGCCAAAGCCACAAATAGATGAATGTATGGTTTCTACCTCACATCCACAAATTTTGGTAAGTGGTGGTGGGGAATCCTATGTTACAACCTCTTAAGACCATGCTAGCAAAGCTTTGAATTTGTTATTTTTAATACTGTCAGGGAGATGGAAAGTGGTTTGGGCAAATCGTCATAGAAATTTATGTATTTCCTCACACCACCCTTCCACCTACACATCGTGATTTTTGTATCGCAAGTGGCGGCCCTAGGGATCAACTGCCTTCAGCAGTAGAGCAGGAAATCCTTCCGGTCAACCAATACAAATGTGAAATCATTCAAAATGTGGGGAATTCTCCGCCACTTTTATTCTCCCCTTCCCCCATACAGGCCAGAAGTGCGCGCTCTTGGCAGACCTCTGGATTCCCTGCGCGGTTATCCGGCTCTCCTCAGGCAGGCAAAGAGGCAGGCAGACGGCAGTGGAGGGGCAGCCGCCGGCCATAGACACCTGCTTCTCCCGCCGCGGTCGTCGCAGGGGCCATAATGGGCCGGGCCCGGCGGTTTTCTTTGCCAGCACGCCGTTGTCTTCTCACGCAGCCGCTGCAATTGCGAAAGGTGGAATGAGGTCTCGCCGGTCGAGGGAGGAAAACCCAAACCCGTTATGTCATCCGCTCGCCGCTATCACTACCTGTGGAAGCCGCCACCGCCTCTAGCCACCGCTGCTTCTCGCCGGCCAAGCGGGGAAAGCAAGCAGCTCAGCTGCTACGAGCGCAGCGATCCCTTCGCCGACTTTGTCTCCCGGCGAATGTGCGGGACGCGACGAAAGAAGGAGGGGTAAAAGGGGCTGCCGAGGGAGCCGGGCCACTCCTCCGCGGGCTCCGCAGCGCAGGCGCCCTGGCAGCTACCGCAGGCAGGGGGCGGCAACATGGCGGAGTGAGCGGCGGCGGCGGCGGTTCTGGCTCCACAACAACAGCGGGGGCTGCGGAGTGGCTCTCTGGCCCCCGTCGCCCTCGCCGGTTTCCTCCCTCGCCCGGCTGGTAATACCGCGGAGGCTCTTCCCGTCTCTGTTGAAGAGGATAGGGCGAGAAGCTGCTCCGGCTAACGGGGCAGCGGAGCCCATAATAATCTCATTATAGAGTCCAGCGGGGGAGCGGCTCCTGGGACGGTCTTTCGGCGAGGCAACGGCGGCGGCTTGGTCCGGTTTAGCGGCCCCGCCGGCGTTGCTCCTGCCGTGGTCTTGCTGCTGCGGTGGAGGCGCAGCTTCTCGTTCAGGGAGGAGCACGGCGGCAAGCAGGGTCAGCAGCAGCCGAGGCTAAATGGCGAGCGACAAGTCCGTGACGGGGCCGGAGCCGCAACCGGCGGGTCTCATCCCGGTCGGGGCCAGCAGCACCGGCGGAGCTTCAGCCCCGTCACCTGCTCTCGCAGCGGTGGCTGGAGGCGGCGGCGGCGGCAGCAGCAGCTCTGCGGCCGTGATGGGGGAGCTGAGGGCATCGGGTTCTGGCTCTGTCGTGTTGCCCGCGGGGATGATTAATCCGTCCGTGCCCATCCGCAACATCCGCATGAAATTTGCCGTGTTGATCGGACTCATTCAAGTCGGGGAGGTCAGCAACAGGGACATCGTGGAGACCGTATTGAACCTGGTAAGGGGGCTCCATCCCACCAGCAGGGGCACGAGCAGTCTTCTACCCCTTCTCCATAGAAGGGAGCGCTGCCACGCTCCTTTGGGTTCACCTTGCCTTGTCTTGCCCGGGCAAGAGTCTCTAGCTCTGGAACTCCCTAACTCCACTTCTGTCCTCTTAAGTGCTCCCTCATCTTCTATCCTACTTTTCCACCCCTCATTTTGACACATCTTCCAACAGCCCATAGAAGAGGGGAGGAGTTAGGAGGTCTTCTTGAGCTACTTGGAGGCTTACCTAGGAAGTCTTTTATCTCCCACTGGTCCACAGAGAGCTCCTATAGCTTCACAGGCCTGCTTTGCCCTTAACTCGCTTCTGCCTTTTGCTATACTGGTCTTCTCCTTACTGCCTTTTCTGTCAAGTTGTTCACCACCTCCTTGAACTTGATCAGGCCTGTGGCAGCTGAATCTTTTACATCCAGAAATGAAAGGTTTTTTTCCACTGGGAATTAGTAGTTACTGCTGTTCTAGCATTGAGTTCCTCCTTTGCAATGATGAAGTTTGATTCTTTTAATCCCTTCCCCAACTTTCATGCTCAAACTCCCTTCAGATTCCATCCAACTCTATGATTTTAATATCCACATAGAACTGTATCAGCTGTAAATTAACTTGATTGCCTTCCTTACAGTACTGTATAGAATGTTGCTCTATCCCATAAAATTGCACGGCCTTATCTGTTGCTTTTCCAAATACAATATTTTATAAAACTAGATTTAATTTTATTTTCAGTTTTAATGGATTATAAATGGCTTTATTGTTAAGAAGAGGATTTGATATTAATTCCTTTTAATTATGCAAGATTAAACTATAGCTACAGATTGCATTTCTTCTCTCTAGTTGACATGTGTGAATGTTTAACCTTGCTAGCAGTTCGGTTTGACATGTTAAAAAAGGGGCTATGTCTCTTACAATGTTAATGAGATGACCTATTATTTCATTACACTAGGAATGAATTATCTGATCATTTAGAATAGATTTTTTTAGATCACTTTCATATCTAAATTATGCAAAAATGTCCCCTCCTTAGACAAGGTAGCATTTATATGGAACCCTTATTCAGTTCATGGTGTGCAAGAGTTAATGCAGAAGTATATGGCAGTATTCACCTCTATCTGTACCAGAAGTTTATTGTTTAATATCAGGGAGAAAAATAAGAATTTAGAAATGATTTACTTCCAGTTATATCTGATTTGATGCTTCTGAATGAAAGATTTGCTGTGGCAAAACTGATGAAATAGCTGAATAAATGAGAATATTTTATCTTGATGGTAAAATGAATAACCTTTGCAAACATTTGGGGGTCTTTTTGTGACTAAATTTTAAACATTCCATGTTAATTTATTACTATGGCAGAAGCCGAAATAATCACTTGGATATCTTATATTGCCTTGATTTTTAGTAAATGTTATCTAGTCTTACAGAGTGACAGTGCTGTTAACACAGTTAGAAATGGGATATTTAACATTTATAGCTTATGGATGAGTGAAAGTTAAAGCTCTGTTGGCTTTTATGAGGTTTGTGACTCTAAGATAAACTATTGGCAGTTCTTCAACATTCACATCTGTTTCTCAGTTTTCAAAGGTGTCTTTTAAAATAAACACTGTTATTTAAGTTGCTACATTTGTTTAATTTATATAAAGATACTGCTTATTTATTTCAGTAGAGCAATGGAATAAGGTTATCAAAATAAAGCAGCTTTCATTCATTAAGCAGATCATGCCCTGGAGATAAAGTGTTTAATCCATTTTCTGAATTTATTTATTATTTTGGCATTGCCTCTATGAACCTGTTGATGTGTCAGGTAATACTTTATCCATTCATAAGCCAGTAACAAATTTTGTTGGAGTATCCTCTGTTACTGCATATTAATATGTGGAATTCAGTCCCACTTGTTTTTTTTTAAAGATTTTGATGATAAACTGCTATGATGGTTTTTACATTAGAATTGGTTACTGAAATATGCACAGGATCAAGTTATGAAAGAATTAACTTTGTTTTTTTACTATGCTTAATACTTGCTGAGAGGATATGTTTCAGTATAATTTAAATATATATTGTTGCAGAAAGAATGCATTCTAGTTGAAAACTTGAAATGGTCCAGCACTCATAATGTTACTTAGTTGGAAACTTAATTGGATAATGAAATGTCTGCAAGCAAATAACAGGCTCAACTCCATGGTTGAAATCTGAGCTACATATGTTTTCTTCTATAATGGTCTTTCTCCAGCTACACAAAGAGCTATTTCTATAGGTTTCTTAAGCCTATTTGGTCTAATGGTTAAGGCACTAGGCTAGAAAACAGGAGACTGTGATTCAAGTCCTGTCTCAGCCATGAAACCAGCTGGGTGACCTTGGGCCAGTCACTCTCAGCCCAACCCACCTCACAAGGTTGTTGTTTGGAAAAAACTGGGAGTCAAAATATGTGAATTTCCTGCAATTTAAATTGTATTGCAGAAAGCGAATAACTATAATGTGATTTAGTTACATTATGGGATTTTAGATGGTACACTTGGAGCTTCATCTTAAATTGTTCTTTGGGAAAGTATCTCCCTACAGAATACAAATTAGAAGTGACAAACTCATATAAGATATGTTCATAAGAACAAGATTCAATAGCCTCTTTAAAATGAAATATTCAGTTTCTTCTTCAAAAAAAGGTAGTGTTTTGATTAATGTTAAAAATGACAAATCAGAGAAAACTAGTTTAATGACATTAAATACTTTCTAATAAATCGATTTTCATGTACAGTATTATAGAAAATTATCTATTGAACTGAAAAAAATAATTGAATTGATTTGAATTCAATTTGATTTGAAAAATTGATTCCCAATCATAAAATAAATTTGTAGATACAATATGATTTAATGATTCATTGATCTAATGTGAAAAATCGATTAGATTCAGAGATTTAATTGAATAATTTTCAATTCAAATATCTACTTTGAAGGTTCATATAACCAATTCATATTTGCAGTGAGAAAATTTTGATAATTCAAAAGGCCAGGCTATATAAATACAAGTCTACTAATAATAAGGTAAATTAATTGTCAGAATACTAGAGTAATTACTAGATTGTCTCTGTAATAGAACTGTGTACTGCTTTTGACTTGATTTGAGGAAATGCTTTAAAATATATGTAAATAAGATACAGTTTCTCATAAAGCAGGATCATGTGGCAGCTGCAGGGAACTTACTGCATTGCACACCTCTGTTAATTAATAAGATAGAACAACGAATCAGCAATACAGTTGCTAGGAGGAGGACTTCCTGACTGATTAGCCTAGCCAAATTTTTAAAAAGTGTACATGGAATCTCACCGAAATGAGTATATACTCTTATAGGAGTGCTACAGATATTGAAGTCTCTGAAAGTAAACACAGGAAATAATGAGATTGGGACATGACAAAAAAAGAAAAGTTTGCAATACTATGCATGGTGAATATATTTAGATGTCCTAAGTTAAAAATGGGTTCCAGGATATTCCTTTTAAGCCCCTTATCACAAACCTTTGTCCAAACTCATGTCTGAAGTCAAATATAATAATGATACAATTATTTGCCATTTCCCATTTGCAATCCCACTTGCATTACTCAGGTGACTCTAAGGACACAGACAAACCTCCATGTGACCTCAATGACTCTCTAAAACTGCTGGCCCACGGGCCGGATGCATCATAGCAAAACCGCGCCCACCCATTGCTGGCAATGGCAAAAAAGTCACGGTACATCGCGACACGTCTCGTGATGTTGCGAGTTTGACACCCCTGCTCTAAAAGAATACAAATGACCAGCTGTGTGCAAGGAGTATAAATCGTTCCATTCCCCACCATCCAATCAGAGCTGAAGAAGCTTCTTGGATGAGAAGTGAAACATCTTCAAAGAAAAACAAAGTCCAGTTGCCTTTTGAAAAAAGCATCTTTGGGATTGCTTTGTATAGAGTAAATAACTTTGATTAAACCATTTGTTTATAATCAAATATCAAGCATATATTTGACCACAAATTTATTGGTGTAATGATTTTTTTTAAAAAAAAATTGTTGCTGATTCCTTTTTTGATTTGAGGAAAATTGTACTGAATGGGTCTGAGAAATATCAGAGTAATGTTTTGAAAATAAATGTTCTGTTTTTATAAATGCCAAGCATGTTAATAAATCAAATTATATCCTGTTA